TCACTCTGCACTTGCTAGGCAGGCGTCTGTTGATCTCTTCAATCTCATTTGACAAGAAACTCAGTCCCTAAACATTGTCAAAAAACTTCCCTCTCAACCCACTAGATAGTTCTGATTAGGAGTCACCAGAGTCAAAATGCTGACTCTGATTTCTCTGCACAGATGTGGACAGACCTGCCGAGTTTCTCCAGCAATTTCTGTTTTTGTTTCCAATCTACAGCATCCACAGTTCTTTTCTTTTAACCTACTAGATAGGCCAAGTTGTTTTCATTAGAGCGGAGAAGGTTGAAGGATGTCTGAAGTATACAAAGTATTGAGGGGCATAGGCAGGATAGTTGGGAAGAAATCATTCCCCTTAATGGAGAGTCACTAACCAGGGAGCAGTGTTTTAAGGTAAGGAGCAGGTTTGGAGGGTACCTGAGGAAAATATTTTTTACCTGCATGGTTGTGGATGTCTGGAGCTCAATGCCTGAAAGGGTGGCAGAGGTAGAAATCCTCAAGACATTTAAGAACTATTTCAATGACTATTTCAAACACCATGCCATACAAGGAGGCTTGGGGATCGCTTTGCAGAACACCTACGCTCGGTTCGCACTAAACAACTGCACCTCCCAGTCGCGAACTATTTCAACTCCCCCTCCTATTCCTCAGATGACATGTCCATCCTGGGCCTCCTGCAGTGCCACAACGATGCCACCCGAAGGTTGCAGGAACAGCAACTCTTATTTTGCTTGGGAACCCTGCAGCCCAATGGTATCAATGTGGACTTCACAAGCTTCAAAATCTCCCCTCCCCCTACCGCATCCCAAAACCAGCCCAGCTCATCCCCGCCTCCCTAACCTGTCCTTCCTCCCACCTATCCCCTCCTCCCACCTCAAGCCACACCCCCATCTCCTACCTACTAACCTCATCCCGTCCCCTTGACCTGTCCATCCTCCCTGGACTGACCTATCTCCTTCTTAACTCCCCACCTACACTCACCTTTACTGGCTCCATCCCCACCTCTTTGACCTGTCTGTCTCCTCTCCACCTATTTTCTCCTCTATCTATCTTCTATCCGCCTCCCCCTCTCTCCCTATTTATTTCAGAACCGCCTTCCCCTCCCCCATTTCTGAAGAAGGGTCTAGGCCCGAAATGTCAGCTTTCCTGCTCCTCTGAAGCTGCTTGTCCTGCTGTGTTCATCCAGCTCTGCACCTTGTTATCTCAGATTCTCCAGCATCTGTAGTTCCTACTATCTCTCATGCCATACAAGGCTATGGGCCAGATGCTGGAAAATGCATTTAGAACAGATGGATGTTTGATAACCAGCATAGACATGATGGGCCAAAGGGCCTCTTTCTATGCTGTAAAGCTGTATCACCTGTCAGCCAAATACTCCTCTTATATATGCTGAAAGTGAGAGTCGAATATATTTAGCACTTTGCATAGCATGGCAGCCACTATTTACGGGGATATCCAGCACTGGATTAGCTGCATCAGCTCCAGAGGAAGTAGTGGTCTAGTGGTAATGGCACTGGATTAGTAATCCTGCATCCTAGACTCAACCCCTAGACACAAGGGTTCATAATCCCACCCCAACAGATGGTGAAAATTAAATCAAAGCTAGTCAAATGATGACCTGATTGCTGTTAAAAAAGATTGATTTTCTAGTACCCTTTTTGGAAAGAAATCGGACATTGTCTGGCCTACTTATGACTCCAGTTCCACACTAATGTGGTTGACTCCTCGGTACCCTCTGAAATGGCCCAGCAGGCCACTCAGTTCAAGGGCCCCGCCTATGATACCTTCATCCCATGAACAAATAAAGAGAAAACTCAGCCTTCCACAAACTATGGCAGCAAGTGTTTGCCAACAGAGACTCTCCATAAATTGACATCAGCTCCCAAATTCCCTCACGTTCAAGGTAAGGTATTTTTGAGTTGCTTTTCTAATCTGTAAATGCATTCACTGCTCTGAAATGATTTTCACCTCAGCATTGACAAGTCTAAAACATCCATGCCCCATGTTGGAGACAAGGGTGTAAAAGATGAATAAGGGTCTGACATAAATTAAGTAAAAGCAAACCCAGAGTAGCAACCCATTCTTGGGACAATCAAATGAATCTCACCTTCTCCCTTTCCCAGGGCAGCCAAACAAAGGCCTTTCTACACTGGGTTGTGCATGGGAAGTGGGACTAACCAAGTTACTCTTGGTAGGAGTTAGCTCAGACACAATGGCTGAAAGATCTCCTGTGCCCTAACCATTCTGATTCTTTTATGATTTGGCAGGCAGCAATCAAGGCAACAGAAAAGTATCATGTTCTGGGTAAACATTAAGCTTGTTTTCTGTATTTTCTACCTGTGCTTCTAGTTGAAGTATGGGTTGGAATAGGCTGTGTGGCCCTTCGGGTCTGCTCCACCATTCACTATGATTGTGGCTGATCATCTAACTCATAATATCTGTTCCTGCTTTCCCACTGTATCCTTTGATCCCTTTGGCCCCAAACTCCTTCTTGAACTCACATATCTTAGCCTTAACTGCTTTCTGTGGTAGTGAATTCTACAGGCTTGTCACTGTCTGGGTGAGGAAATTTCTCATCTCAAGGCTAAATGGTTTACTCATTATCCTTACACTGTGACTTCTGGACTCCCTCACCGTCAAGAACATCCTTCCTGCATCTACCCTATCTAATCCCAATAGAATTTTGTAGGTTTCTATGAGATCCCCCTCATTCTTCTGAATTCCAGCGAATATAATCCTGAAAATTGGAGGTGTAGTGGACAGTGAAGATTACCTCCAGGTACAACAGGACCTTAATCAGATGGGCCAATGGGCTGAGGAGTGGCAGATGAAGTTTAATTTAGATGTACTGTATTTTGAAAAGGTAAATCAGTGCAGGACTTATACACTTAATGGTAAGGTCCTGGGGAGTGTTGCTGAACAAAGAGACCTTGGAGTCCAGGTTCATAGTTCCCTGAAAGTGGAGTCACAGGTAGATAGGATAGTGAAGAGGCATTTGGTACGCTTGTCTTTATTGGACAGAGTATGGAGTATAGGAGTTAGGAGGTCACATTGTAGCTGCCCAGGACATTGGTGAGGCCACTTTTGGAATACAGTGTTCAATTCTGGTCACTCTGCAATAGGAAGAATGCTGTGAAACTTGAAAGGGTTCAGAAAAGATTTACAAGGATGTTCCCAGGGTTGGCGAGTTTGAGCTAAAAGAAGAGGCTGAATAGGCTGGGGTTATTTTCCCTGGAGCATTGGAGACTGAGGGATGACCTTTTAGAGGTTTATGAAATCATGAGGGACATTTATTAGGGTAAACACACAAGGTGGGGGGGTCCAAACCTAGAGGGCATAGGTTAAGGTGAGAAGGGAAAGATTTAAAGAGGACCCAAGAGATAACTTTTTCATGAAGAGGGTGGTTTGTGTATGGAATGAGCTGTCAGAAGAGATGGTGCAGGCGGGTATAATTACAATATTTAAAAAGCACCAGGATAGGTACATGAATGGGACTGATATAGAGGGCAACTCTTCCTCAGAACATTTAAAAAGCATCTGGACAGGTACATGGATAGGGAGAAGGTTTAGGGAGATATGGGGCAAATGGGACTAGTTCAATTTGGGAAACTTGGTTGGCATAGACGAGTTGGACCAAAGAACATAAGAACCAGGAGCAGTAGGCCACCTGGCCCTTCGAGCCTGTTCCTCCATCCAATAAGGTCATGGCTGATCTTTTCACGGCTTCAGTTCCAATTACCCACACTCTCACCATAACCTTTACAAGCGTCTGTTTCCATGCTGTATGACATTATGAGGAAGGAACAAGAACGAAGATATGGGATAGAGGTGGTGAGGGATACAGAAAGAGCAAAACTTACAATGAGTGGAGCACAAGAGAAAGTAGGCAAAGAGGAGGATAAACAAAAGCAAACAGTGGAATAGGAAAGCCGAGGGAAAGAGACAGAGGTGCTAACAGAGGGCAGACATAGATGGAGAGAACGGACGGAGATCAGTGCAAGCGATTGCACACAGGCCCATGGGGTGGGGATGGGAAGGCAGGAGTAGATGCACATTCACTTAGTGAAGAAGGAGAATCTGATTTTTTTTTTGTTTAAAACATGCAATACGTCCATAATCTTCAAAAAAATTCTTGCTGTAAATCTCTGCAAATTTCAGTGATCAAATTGTGTCCAGGCTGGCTCTGCAACAAAAAAAAAGGAGGTCCAATTTACTCACATCCTCCAGTTTCTTTGTCCCGTAACCCACATTTTACCTCTTCATGTACTGGTTACATTTTTGAAGCTTCCCAGGGAATTTGCTTCCAGAGGAATGGTATCCCAACTGAACGACCGTCTGTGTAAAAGAAAATCCAATTTCCACTCTTCCTTCAATGGTTTCAGATTTGTGACCGCAGTTGAGGGCTGACTTAGCGGATGGTCAGCAGCAGTAAATTGTTGGAGTCACTTGGAGTTAGCCCTACTTAAGACTGCCAGGTCACAGCTCTCTTCAAGAAATAATGTCCCAGCCAAAATAACTGAAGAAAAAACCCAACTACAATGGGCCTCATGTTCACAGACATTCCCGCACTGCTGAAGCATTTTAACTCAGTTACACTGAAGTTATACGAGAGGCATTATGTAAAAGCTGCATTGAGTTTGACAGACCAGGAGTGTGTCACACATCATAAAAGGACAGCCAGTGAGTAAATGTAGCATAACAAGTTACAGTTTGGGTTAAATTGTAAACAGTATTGGAAAGGAACAACGAGTGGTGGGGGGAAGGTTCTTGGACAAGGATACTTACAATCTGACAAATAGGGTTCTGTTGAAATCCCCCACTTGCCTGTACTATGGTTGCATAGCTGCATATTCACTCATTCCACAGCATGAGAAAAATCACCCCTTCCACCCCACTCACTTTGAATGGGCCAAATTCCTCAGGAGGATTTCAAAGTCTTCACTCTCCAGCCAGTATGCCCAACTCTGTTCAAGCCTCCTCTCCCTCACCCAACAAGTTACTGCATTTCAATATAAAAACTTTATTCAAAGAATTCCACACATAATTATCAATCACTAGAGTCAAGCCCATAAAGTGATTGAAAATCTTGAGAGAGACAAACGTCTGTCGTAAATGTTTTGTTAAAGTGGCAGCAAAGTCAGTCACGGTGAGAAGTATTTGCAGAAGGTATTCACATTCCTTCCTTAGTTCGAATGTACAATGCGAGAAAATATACCACTGGGTTCTCGGCCATCACCTAGTGCATCATGGAAGCCTTCTTCCCTCCTTCGCTTAGCCAGTGCTGCCAGGGATTTGAACGTCTTTGGTTCATATATGGCCAAATCCGAAAGGACTTTCCTGTTTAATTCCACCTGACACTATTAAACATAAAAACAAGCATTTTAGTGGCAGAAAAGCAACCCGTACAATTTTCAAAAGTGCCCTTTTGCTTTTAAGTCTCAGGCTATAAATAGTAAAATGCAGCCTTGCTAGCATGGGCAGCATGGTGGCTCAGTGGTTAGCACTGCTGCCTCACAGCACCAGGGACCCAGGTTCAATTCCAGCCTCGGGTGACTGTCTGTGTGGAGTTTGCACATTCTCCCTGTGCCTGCGTGGGTTTCCTCCGGGTGCTCCAGTTTCCTCCCACAGTCCAAAGATGTGTGGGATAGGTGGACTGGCCATGCTAAATTGCCCATAGTGCCCAGGGATGTTTAGGTTAGGTGGGTTAGACAAGGGAAATGCAGGGGTGGAGGAATGGGTCTGGGTGGGATGCTCTTCGGAGGGGAGGGGTGGTGTGGACTTGTTGGGCTGAGTGGCCTGTTTCCACACTGTAGGGTTTCTATGAATACTGGAAAGTATTGGCAATATATAGTAAAGTTGCCATAGTCCTACCAGGCCACAGAGCTGCTCTCTCATTAAAGAGAGAGACAGTTGGTGGTAGCTTAACCCAAGAGTCACCATGCCTCTGGAGGGGACAGGTTGCAAAGGACAGTCCTCCATGGTAACCACAGCTGGTGTGGGAATTTGTTGATTTAAACACACTCAGTTCACTGACACTCAATTCAAAAATACATAGAAAAGGTCCACATCAAGCAGGGTCAAACACCAACTCTATTTTGCTGCTAATCTTGGAAAACTGCCAATTGACTCTTGACTGCACTACATTCAAACTTCACCTCTGCTTCAGTATTAGGCAGACTATGCTCTGGGCCTCCATGACATTTTCTGTCAATGACACCTTGACAATATTTATGTCTGGCTGTAGTCCGGCACAGCGTGCCCCACAATGTGTCCGTCTCAGAGAGTGAGCATCTCATGTCAATGCTCTCGAGAGAACACTGGATACACAATAAGGAACTGAATGTATTGATTTGTGGCTCTGATCTTAACCATTATTTCTAAGCTGTAACTGGGAATTCCTTCTAAGCATATAGCCCAAGACTTTACAAAGCTATGAGGTCATTCAGTGAGATCTGTTTTGTTTAAAGTTAATACACAAGATGGAACAAAATAAGTGATAGTTCCCTGGTCTGCTGTTTACTTTAGCCTTCCTGCACTTTACATAGCAGAAAGATGAGCCACATACAGACTTCCTACTTTCATGTTGCCCATGTATCCTGAAGCTCTTCAAAAGGAAGTAAATTATTTTATTTGGAAGCAGAAAGCCTCTTGCTCTCCAAACCATAGTTACTGGCAGTTAGCACTCAGCCAGATCCCAAAGCAGCAAATTGGGTTAATGATTGATTGATCTGTTTCAGTAAGGATTTTCTTCTCAGGCTAACTGTTGACCAAAGCGCTGGGAGAACTCCCACATTGTTCTTCACTTCTGTCAGTTGGGGTTGTCTGACAAGACAGGTGTGGAAAAGACAGTGCCTCTGACATGTCCTCGATTGATGTGGCAGCTAGATTGTGTGTTCCAGGCCTGAATGGGCCTAGAGTCCACAAGGTGCTTGCTACCAACGAAACAAATGTAATGTACTGCTCAAGAGACTCCTCTATGGCTCTAATGAAATTTAAACCGATTATCCTTGGAATCTGACAAAGTCAGTCAAGTTCATTAACATGTTCAGACATGCAACCTCACCTTAACCAGGTTACTGATCAAAATAGGGTATTTCAGTCCATGCTCCCGTGATGCAGCTGCTATCCTGTTTATCCAAAGCTGAAACAGAACAAAACATTTTTCAAGACCTCCTTTTAACGGTGCCCCTTCCTGTTAATTCAGGATGTTTAGGGTATGTACCTTTTGAATGGAAATCAGTTCATTCCATCATCTTCCTAGTTTGTAAAAACCGAAAAAACTGTGGATGCTGGAAATCAGAAACAAGAACAGACATTGCTGGAAAAGCTCAGCAGGTCTGGCAGCATCTGTGGAGAGAAGTCAGAGTTAACGTTTTGGGTCCAGTGACCCTTCCTCAGAATATATGCTGCCAGACCTGTTGAGCTTTTCCAGCAACTTCAGTTTTTGTTCTGACAAACTCGAATAGGAAGATACAAAAACTGAAGTTGCTGGAAAAGCTCAACAGGTCTGGCAGCATAT